TTTTTTTTTTTTGCATCTATGCAGTGCAAAAATGCATATTGTCAAGGGGCTGCCTGCGCATGTGTATCTCCGTGCTTGTATTTGTATGTGCGTCTCTATCAATTTTTCATTTCGAAACCCAGAAAAGCTACAAGGCTGAAGCTTTGGCGGCTTAATCTACACGCATGTGCGGACCAGAAAACACTCTTGCCCATTTGGTTCTCACGTACAGATTCGAAAAATTTTTAGCGGGTAAGTTGCTAACTCAGGAGCCAAACAAGTCACAAAGCTGGAATTTGAAGGATTTTTCCCGTCCAGGTATAATCTAGTGTCCCCGTTGTGTGTGGTTCTCACATACGGACGCGTGAAAGTTTTTGGCACGTAATTTGCTAATTCGGGGACCCGAGAAGCGAGAAAGCTGAAATGTTAAGAGGATGTTCCCTCTCCAGGTACAGTCAAATAACTCCAAATTTAGCCCCTAGTTATGCGTGATTTTTACGTACGGGCCCGTGGGAGTTTCCAGCGAGTAAGTCGGAAATTTTAAGCTAGAAATCGGAAATTTTAAGGAGACGTTTCCTGACAGCCCTGGTAGTCTGTCCCAAATTTTTCTAGCTAGGAGCATCTGCGGGAAAAAAACAGTGCCGTTAGGGACAAAAACCTGCGGGGAACTGTGCAAAAAACGCATCTTCGCACTGATAGTCGGCTCAGTGGCCACTTATTTCTTGTTAGTTAACGGTTTGTTCGAAATGTTAGTCTAATACGCGTATTTTGCAGAGAATGGGTGATGATGATGCGGAGGTTGGTCTGCCTCAGAAGGGATTGAATATGATTATCAAGGATGTGATACCAGATATGCGTATAGCAAATGAGTCACGCGAATGGTTGAACGCATGCTGCGTGGAGTTTGTTAAACATGTTTCACGTGAAGCACAGCGCATCTCGGCACATGATCAGCGCAAAACAATTTATCATGAGCATGTGCAAAAAGGTAGGGACTTACGCACGATTGAAGTATTGGATGTGCTTCTTAACTAGTGTTCTTTTTTTTTTCTAAAAAATCCCCGTGTCTTGATCTTTTTTAATGAACTCTGTGCTGTAACAGTTGCACAAGACCCATATTGTCGAGATCCTGTCTGTGTGTGTTTCCGAATGCATTTTATCCAGAGTTTTCAACTCGGTAACCAGAAAAGCTAGGAAGCTGAAATTTTAGTAGAATGTTCTCCGCCCACATACGATCCATCAGATTTAACTTCAGCCCCCATGTACTGCAGTACCAAGTACGCCCTCGCGAAAATTTTGGCGGGGAAAATTATTTTCTCGGGAACCACGAAAGCTGAGAGGCCGAAATATGCTAGTAACATTTTGCCACTGAAACGAATAAGAAATTGTAAGTTTTGCTTCACAGTTTGTTTTTAATAGCAATTCCTAATATTTCAAGTACAGGCTCCGGTAATGACGCTGGAGCCCTTATTTGAAGTACCTAGAATAGCTACTATATTGAACAGTATTAGTCACTAAAAATTGAATTTCAGCTAAAAAATGAGAAAAGGTCTTTTTTGCGAAAGCAGTGTTTTTTTTTTTTTTTGGACGTAAGCGACGAAGCAACATTGTCTGCGAGGAATTTTTAGTAATTTTTATGCGTTTTTTCTGTGCAGCGCTATAGCGCTGCTACAGCCAGCAATTTAGTCGAAAGCGTACTGGCTGCCGATACGAGGATGCGTTTTTTGCACAGTTCCCCCGCAGGTTTTTTTCGCCAGTGGCATGTGCTTCCTCGCAGAATCTTCTAGCTAAAAGAATTGTGACTGGCCACCATGACTGTTAGAAATTATTACAGTGACTCCCAATCCATGCCCAGAAAATTCAGCGCTCTGGATGCTTTGGTTGCGGAGTTACGCCAACATGTTCGTACATGAGTGGCAACTTGAGTGTTTTCTTCGCTTGCGGTTGCTTAAAGACGGCCCTAAGTAGTGCTCAAAAAGTTTCAGTACTCAAGCTGCTGTGGTTGCAAAGTTACGTCAAATTTCACGCGTTCGTACGTGAGTAGCAACGTGAGTGCTTTCTTCACCCGCGGTTGGTCAAACACGGCCCCGGGTAATGCTCAGAAAGTTTCAGCACTCCAGCTGCTCTGGTTGCGAAGTTACGTCAAATTTCACGTGTGTGCA